CGCCCAAGTCACAGGGTAGAAGAAAGGTGGATCTAGGAGATGGGCCTAATAGAGTGTAGCAGGTATGGGCTGCAGGCAGAGTGAGAGAATGAGAAAAACCAGTACCCTGTGAGAGTTGCAATATACAACAGAGAGCAAAGCAAGGAACAGATTATCTGGAGTGAATGGTGTCTGTGTCCGGAGCGGGATTTTCTCAGTCTCCTGAGCTGTCTTCAGCATAATGTCCGGGGCCAGTGTTGTCTGAGGAAGCCGTATCATCCGGGACTGCGGCTTCTACAGGGTCATTTCCTTTATTTTTGGTACTGGGTTGGGTCCCAGCCATTCCACGGTATGGTTTGATGCATCGTGCTGGAATCCAAAGAGGACCTGAGGGGATGTGAACACAAGTGTATCCTCTTCCCCACAATAGCAAATCGTTTGGACTGCACCATAGACTACTATTTACATCTTTCCATAAAACTAAAGGTTTTATATTTTGAAAGTTTTGCACAGTGCTTTTCTAAATCTAAGAAGTTAAGGGTAAATAAGGCTTGTGCTAGTAGTGTGGTAAGGGCCTTACTCATATTCCCTGTTTTTTGCTTTCTGAGCATATTTTTAAGGGTGGAGTGGGCACATTCTACTATGGCCTGTCCCTGGGCCTGTACAGGATACCTGTGTAATATTGAACATTCCATGTGTGACAAAATTGGTGAAATTGTAAGCTGGTGTAAGCTGGACCATTGTCAGTTTTAATTTTTATGGGCCACCCTATAAATACAAAAGTTAAGAGAAGATGTTAATAACATTATGAGGACTCTCCAGGAAGGGCATGTGAACGAATTAGGTGGGAATCGGTATCAACGGATACATGTACATATCTTAGTTTTCCAGATTCAGGGGTGTGCATAACATCTGTGTGCCATAATTGATTAGGTTCTAGTCCTCTAGGGTTAATACCTGTTGAAGGAGGGAACATGCCTGTGAGCTGGCAATCTGGGCATTGTAAAATAATTTGTTTAGCTAGTCTTTGGGTAAGTTGAAATTGTTAAGTTTCTCCAATTTTGGTGAACAAATTGATGTGATTGGGTGGCTTGGTCAAGCAGTGATGTCATAACCTGCAGGTCTGCTTGATCATTGCCATGAACTAATGGACCAGGCAGCGAGCTGTTGGCCCAAATGTGTGTAATGAAAATAGTCTGTGTTCGTTGATCTAGCAATTGCTGAAGTTGAAGAAAAAGGGCACGCAGGGTGGGCTCAAGAGTGGACTTAATGAGGGCTGTTTCAAGTTTTGCAATAAATAAATGGAGTAAGCAGAGTCATGAACAATATTGATAGGCTGAGCAGAAAAGGTTTCCAGGGCCAATATTAGGGTTCCAACTTCAGCTTTCTGAGTACTAGGAAATCCAGATCGAGTAAGGGAGCTACGCAGTTCCCACCTGATAGCCACTTTTCCATTTTTAACAGAGCTATCAGTAAGAAGCGTTAAAGCAGTAGGTATGGGAGTGTGAACCACCTTTGCAGGCATAACTACAGGAGTATGAGATAAGAACTGGAGTAGTCTGTCAGCAGGAAGGACATGTTCTACATGGCCCACATAATCAGAGAGTACTATCGGAAAGTTTAGAGATAAGGGCAGGACTGCTTCAATTGGTTTTTTACTCAAGGCAATTCTTATGATACAATATCTTATGATATCATAACTTCACAATTGTGGATAGACCACATCTTATTTATTCATCTGTTGATGGACTTTTGGGTTGTTTCTACTTTGGGGTTATTCTGAATAATACTGCTGTAAATATTTGTCTACAAGCTTTCATGTGAACATGGTTTCATTTCTTTCAGTACATACTAGGAATAGAATTGCTGAGCCATAGGTAACAACACCATGCCTAATAGTTTGAGAAATTGCAAAACTGTTTTCCAAAGGGAAAACAGTTCCCTTTGTTTGTGTCTTTCTTTCGTTAAGCCTACAGCACCTGGTGTTCGCATGAAGTCTCCCATCCAATTAATAACCATGCCTGACCCTGCTTAGCTTCTGAGATCAGATGAGATTGGGCATGTTCAGGGTGGTATGGCCATAGACTGGGGCTGTGCCTTTGTACATTCCCTCCTGCAACGTGTGAGAGTTGTCATTTGTCCACATCCTCACTAATACTTGTTAGCGTCTCTTTAATTCTGGCCATCCTAAGGGGTGTGAAGTGATATCTCATTTTGGTTTTGATTTGCATTTATTCAATGGCCAGTAACGTTGAGCATCTTTTCATGTGTGTATCAGCTATTTGTAGGTCTTTGGAGAAATGTCTGTTCAAATCCATGCTCCTTTTACAATTGAGTTTTTATCTTTACTTTTGAATTGTAAGAGTTCTTTATATGTTCTGGATACAAGTTACTTACAGATACGTGATTTACAAATATTTTCTCCAGTTTTGTGGGTTGTCTGTTCTCTTGCTTTTTACTTATTATTATTATTATAGATTTGGAGTCTCCCTCTGTTGCCCAGGCTGGTCTTGAACTTCTTGGGCTCAAGCAAATTTTCCTACCTTGGCCTCCCAAAGTACTGGGACTCTAGGCATGTGCCACCACACTCAGTCTTCTCTTTTCTTGAACATGCCCTTTGAAGCACTGAAGATATTGATTTTCATGTTTTTTTTTATCGCCTGTGCTTTTAATGTCAAGTCTAAGAAGCTTTTGCATAACTCAAGGTAACAGATTATTCTTATGTTTTCTTCTAAGAGTTTTATAGTTTCATCTCTTATGTTTAGGACTCTGATCAATACTGAGTTAATTTTTGTGTATGGCATAGAGAAAGGGTGCAACTTCATTTTTTTGTTGATGGATATTCAGTTGTTCTGAATATCCTTTCCCCCATTGAATTGTCTTGGCACTCCTTTCAAAGATTAACTGCCCATTCAAAGGGTACGAAGTTTCCATTCCACAAGATGAATATGTTGTGGAGATCAAATGTACAACATAATAACCACAGTATTACCAACTATAATCTCCACATATGTATATGTTATAAATATATATATGTGGATATCAAATGTACATTATAACTACAGTATCATTAACTATAGTTATATGTTGTACATTTATATACAGTTGTATACAGTATTACCAACTGTAGTTATGCTGTACATTTGATCTACACACACACACACACACACACACACACACACACACACACACATATATATATATAAATTAGGCATCGTGGTGCATGTCTGTAGTCCTAGCTACTTCGGAGGCTGAAGGAGAATTACTTGAGCCCAGGAATTTGAAGCTGCAGCGAGCTATGATTTTACCACTGCACTCCAGCCTGGGTAACAGAGTGAGACTCAAAAAAAACAAAAGCAAAAAAGACACGACATCCACTTTTAAATATATCCAATTTTTATTTGTTAATTATACCTCAGTAAGGCTGGAAGAAAAATCAACCAACCATAAATGTTAAGGGTTTATTTCTAAGCTCTTATTTCTGTTCCATTATCCATTTGTTTATATAAATTCCTATACAATACTGTCTTGATTACTATGTCTTTGGAGTAAGTTTTGAAATCAAGAAGTGTGAGTCCTCCAACCTTATTCTTTTTTTTTACACATATTATGACATGAATTCATAGGGAATAGGTTCCAGCAGCTCAAGCTCCCTCCCATTGGTTCTCTCAAAGTGTGCTTCTCTGGGTGGAGCAGGCTGGTGCTTCAGTTGAACCCAGGTACCTTTCTCTTTGGCTTCTTTCTTTTTCTGATCATTTTCCTTCATGCGTTTCAGGAAGCTGTCTCAGCTCTTAGAGTGTTTAATGTACTCAATATGCACATTAATTCTCTTGGCAAGAATCTTGCCCTTAACTTGGTTTATAACAATGCCAACAGCATGCTAGGGAACACTGTAGACTCTTCCAGTTTTGCCATGGTAACACTTGTGGGGCATTTCTTTTTCAACAGTATCCATTCCCTTGATGTCTACAATATCATTGTTCTTATAAATTCACATATACGTGGCCAAAGGAACAACACCATGTTTTCTAAAAGGCCTAAAGAACATATTTTGGGTGCCTCTCCTGTTTTCCTTTGTGTTAGTCATTTTGGTGAATTACGGGAAGATGGTGGTTCCGGTAGAAAGGAAGTCAAATTTTTTTTTTAATTGTCTTGTCTATTCTGGGTCCCTTGTATTTCTATATGAATTTTAGGATAAAATGGCCAACTTCTGCAAAGAAGCCAGTTGGGAATACAATGGATTTTGTATATTGCTATAATATTCTGCAACCTTTCTAAGCTTATTTGTTATCTAATGTTTTCTGTTATTTTAGTACATTCCTTAAGATTTTCTATATACAAGATCATATCATGTGAAACAGAGATTTTTTTACTTCATTTTCCCATCTGCATATCTTTTTTCTTTTTCTTGCCTTATTGCCCTGGGAAAAACTTCCAAAATAATGTTTAATAAAGGTAGCAGAGGTCCTGTTTTTGACTTAGGAGAAAATATTTAGTCTTTCACCAGTAAGTATGGTATTAATTGTGGGTTTTACATAGATGTCCTTTATCAGGTTGAGTGAATTCTCTTCTACCCTTAGTTGTTGAATTTTTTTTTTCTATTTTTTAATCGTGAAAGGGCACTGGATTCTGTGAAATTATTTTTCTGCATCTGTTGAAATAATCATGCGTGTTTTAAAAATTCTATTAATATCACATTGATTATTTCTCATACATCAATCAACCTGGCATTTCTGGAATAAATCCAGGTTGTTTGTGATGTATAGTCCTTTTCATATGCTGCTGGATTCTGTTTGCTGTCATTTTGTTTGAGCCAATACTCAAGGGATATTGGAGAGCAGTTTTCTTGCAATTTCTGGTATCAGGGTAATATTGACCTCATAAAACAAGTTGGGGAGCACTTCCTGTTTCTTCTTTTAGATGAATTTGTCAATAGGTGTTAACTTTTTCCCCAGTGAAGCTGCCTGGTTCACAGATTTTCTTTATGGGAAGTTTTTTTTTTTTTTTTTTTTTTTTTTTCATGTCAGATGGGCAATGTGCCCATGTGGTAACAAGGTTCAAGGGTGTCACATCTCACATATGTGTGTGAACACCCAGTCATCATACTCATGAACTACAAAGGATCAAGGCAGACTTGTTTTTAATTAGTAATTAAATCTCTTTACTTATTGTAATTCTATTCAGATTTTTTATTTCTTTTTGACTTAGTGTCAGTAGCATCTTTCTAGGAATTTGTTCATTTAATCTTGGTTATCTAATCTGTTGGCATTCACTTGTTCATAATATTCCCTTATGATCCTTTGTGTGCCTGTAAGGTCAGTAGGAATGTCCCGTCTTTCATTTTTGATTTAAGTAATTTGAGTCTTCTCTTTTTGTTGCTCAGTCTAGCTAAAGGTTTGTCAATTGGTTGATTACCTTAGTCCATTTTCTGTTACTACACAAAATTCCACGGAATGGGTAATTTATAAGAAAATAAATTTATGTCTTACAGGTGTGGAGGCTGGGAAGTTTAAGAGCATCACACTGTCATCTGATGAGGGTCTTGTTGCATCCTAACATGGCAAGAGGGCAAGAACATGTCAGCTTACGTCTCTCAGGTCTCTCTTATAAAGCCATCGGTCCCATCATGGTGGCCCATCCTGATGACCTTATCTAATCCTAATTACTTTCCAAAGGCCTCATCTCCAATCGACATATGAATTTGGGGAACACAGTCAAACCATAGCATTGATTTCTTTTAGAAGGATCAACTTTTGGTTTTATTTTCTCTATTGTTTTTCTATTATTTATTTAATTACTGTTCAAATCTTTGTTTCCTTACTTTGGCTTGCTTTGTGTTTAGATAGATTTCTTTTTCTAGTTTCTTAAGGTGGAAAGTCAGGTTGATTTGAGATTTTTTTCTTAAAATAGATTTCCCACTATGCACTGCTTTGGCTGCATCTCACATTTTGTAATGTTGTTTTAGTACTTCTCAAGATATTTTCTGATTTCCACTGAGATTTCTTCTTTGCCCCATTTGTTATTCAAGAGTATATTGTTTAATTTCCACATAATTGTGAATTTCTGAGCTTTGTTATTGGTTTCTTATTCTACAGTGCTTGGAGGACATACTTTGTATGATTCAATCTTTTAAGTTTCAGACTTGTTTTATGGTCTTTCATATGATCTATCCTAAAAAATGTTCCATGTATGCTTTAGAAAAATGTCTATTCCTTTACTGCTAAGTGTAATGCTTAATAGATGTCTTTTCAGTTTAGATGGTTTATAGTGTTGTTCAAGTCTTCTGTTTTGTTGACGCTTTTCCTAGTTGCTCTATCCATTATTGAAAGTTATATTATCCATTATATAAAGGATATATTGAAGTCTCCAACTATTCTTAATTTCACGTTTCTTCTTTCAAGTGTGTTAGTTTTTGCTTCATAAATTGTGCAGCTTTGTTGTTAGATGCATATATATTTATAATTTTGGTATTTTCCTGGTAGATTGGCCTTTTTATAATTATAAAATATTTATTTCTATTAATTTTCTTTTGTTTTAAAGTCTGTTTATCTGGTTTTAGTAAAGTTACTCCGGTTTTCTTATGTCTACTGTTTGCATAATATGCAAAAAAAGAAAAACCGCCTGTGATATATCATGCATATGTATGATATATATGAGCTGAATAATTCATGATGTATATTTAAATTATTTACATTATAAATGCAGCCATCCTGCATATCCTGTTTGCTTTGCTGTTGGGAATAAAACAATCTTAGATTGGTTCTAAGATTCAAACACAACTATTTCATGCCTAAATATTTATTTTAATGAAAGAATCATAAATATATGCAATGATTCAACTACAAACACCTTATTGTTTAATAGCCCCAAACTGAAATATTATATATCTAAATGTTCAGTAATTGGGTATTAAGTAAATTATAATACATCTATATATTGGAATATTAGAAAGTCTTTAATATACTGTTGTAGAAGATTCTGACATGGAAAGATAATCATGATATAGTTAATGAAAAAAGTAGGTTACAAATGGTATGTGCAGTATAACTCCATTGTTATTAAAATATATATAATGTATATGCAAAGAAAAATTACCCAAAGGTTAATGATTATCTCTGAATTTCAGCGTTATGGGGGTTTTGTTTACTTTGTGCTTCCCCTGTCCCCTTGGATTTTCTATAATATACATGTCTTTTTGTTACTAAGAAAAAAGAACAGGCCGGGCGCGGTGGCTCAAGCCTGTAATCCCAGCACTTTGGGAGGCCGGGGTGGGTGGATCACGAGGTCAAGAGATCGAGACCATCCTGGTCAATATGGTGAAACCCCGTCTCTACTAAAAATACAAAAAATTAGCTGGGCATGGTGGCGCGTGCCTGTAATCCCAGCTACTCAGGAGGCTGAGGCAGGAGAATTGCTTGAACCCAGGAGGCGGAGGTTGCGGTGAGCCGAGATTGCGCCATTGCACTCCAGCCTGGGAAACAAGAGCGAAACTCTGTCTCCAAAAAAAAAAAAAAAAAAGAAAAAAGAACATGTTAATTTTAAAGATCATCAAAATAAAATTTGTGCCTATTAATTTGGCAAAGATTATTTAAAAAGACAATACTCAGCATTGGTAAGGATTTGGGAATAAATGGGCATGCACAAAATGTATGCTGCTAATGTTAGTATAAATAGCTGCTAAAAGCTTTATTATAAACGTGGCAACATAAACTGAAATCCTGAAAAACAGAGGAAGTATTTTCAGTTCTAGGAATTAAAGAAATTATTTAGGGATGGTTGCAAAAATGTCCATATAAACCCAAACATCCATTTTAAAGTAATGATTAAATAAATTACATCTGTATGAATCAACACTATGTATTAAAAATCACATTGCAGGATTATTTGACATAGCTCAGTATATTAAGGGCAGTGCACTAAGTTTTTTTTCTACTTTTTCAAAGTCTACAGTAGGTAGAAACTATGTACCATAACATCGAGTTAATATGAAAAGCTATGCTTCCTAGGGCTGCTATGACAAATTACCACAAACTAGGTGACTTAAAACAATGGAAATTTATTCTCTTACAGTTCAGGTCAGAAACTCCAAATCAAGGTGTTGGCAGGGTTGGCTCTTTCTGGAAGCTCTGAAGGAGAATGCTTCTTACCTCTCTCCTAGCTTTTGGTGGTTGCTGGCAATCCTTGCTGTTCCTTAGTTGTAGGAACGTATCTCCAATCTCCTTTGTCACAAAGCCTTCTTCTCAGTGTTTCTGTGTACTCTCTGTTCTTCTTCTAAGGACACTAGTAATTAGATTTAGGGCCCACCCTAACCCAGTATGACTATAACTAATTACATCTGCCAAGACCCGATTTCCAAAATAAGGTCACATTCTGAGGTTCTAGGTTGATGTGAGTTTCTGAATGACACTACTTAACCCCACTACATATAAATAACATAGATATACGAAAGATGAATTTAACACTGACAGTGTTTATCTCTGGGTAGGTTTAGTGTATGGATGATTTAAATATTTTTGTGCTTTTCTGAATTTTAAAATAAATAGCTTAAATAGAGATTAAGTTCTAAGTTTATTATGTAAAGTGAATATCATGTGTAGTCAAAAATCATTCCTGGCCGGGTGTGGTGGCTCACACCTGTAATCCCAGCACTTTGGGAGGCCGAGATGGGTAGATTACTTGAGTCCAGGAGTTTCGAGATCAGCCTGGGCAACATGGCAAAACTCCAACTCTATGAAAAATAGAAAAATTAGCTGGCTGTAGTGACACACGCTGTAGTCCCAGCCACTCAGGAGGCCGAGGTGGGAGGATTGCATGAGCCCAACAGGCCTTGAATGCAGTGGGCCATGATTGCACCACTGCACTCTAGGGGAGACAGAGGAAGACAGTCTCTTACTTAAAAAAAGACTCACTCTTTTCTTTCATATACCTCACAAAATACAGAATACATCATTTTATACATTGTTCTCTTCTCAAAGACGTCCAACATAGGCAATTCTTCTTCCAGCACTGAACAGGTAACTGTTCCTCTGGGTGAGTACTAGATGAAGCAGTTGGTTTGTGTTTTTCTGTTATGTTGTTGTACAAAAAAGAAAAAAGTTTTTTAAACATGAAAGTGTAGTTGAATGTGTTCAAGATAAATGACTATGAGACTCCACTGTTTTAGTTTTGTAATTAGAAGAAAAACTATTTTCTTTAATGTTTACAAAGAACACTACCAACAATGGCAATGAGTTAGGAAACACTCTTAAGACCAAGGGAAAAAAATAATTACTGATTTCCAAATGTACTTCTTCAAGAGGTGAGGTATATCTTTAAGTATTTCTGAAGTTTTCAAAAGTCCAAAAACATAAGAAAATAATACTTAATGTTCACTATGAGGTTGATATTGGGCTGCAAAATTGGGGTTTAATAATTTGAATGCCCAAGAAGTGTTTTTTTCTTTTTTTGCAACCACCAATATCAACAATGAACAATATTAACAATAAAATTAAATCAAAATGAAAAATGGACAGCATTTAAGATGATACTGTGGATAAAATTATAGCCAATTTTTGTTTTAAAAATTCTTCCGCCGGGCGCGGTGGCTCAAGCCTGTAATCCCAGCACTTTGGGAGGCTGAGGCGGGTGGATCACGAGGTCAAGAGATCGAGACCATCCTGGTCAACCTGGTGAAACCCCGTCTCTACTAAAAATACAAAAAATTAGCTGGGCATGGTGGCACGTGCCTTAATCCCAGCTACTCAGGAGGCTGAGGCAGGAGAATTGCCTGAACCCAGGAGGCGGAGGTTGCGATGAGCCGAGATCGCGCCATTGCACTCCAGCCTGGGTAACAAGAGCGAAACTCCGTCTCAAAAAAAAAAAAAAAATTCTTCCAAGGTATATTTTCCTTTCAAAGCTTTACAAATATGGTGTCTTTCATAACTGGAATAAGATAAATTCTATATAAAATTCAATTTTAAAAAGTATTCTCATGTACGGAGGCTGACATCATGGGTAGTCAAAGAATATGTTTAATAAAAAATAATTAAACTTCCATTTGCTCTATAGAACATCATAGAAAGTAATTTAATAAATTACAAATGACTTTTTAAGACGTTTGCTCAACTACAGAAAGCAAATTCAGA